ATCTGTCATGAATTGATTTCAGTTAGTTAACCGTTGAAAAATAAGATCCGGATTTTCAACTCCAATGTGAAGTCAGTCAGTGCTGCTATACGGATCAGAGACTTGCACTGCGCGTCATAAAGAGCATTTCAAACAAACTACAAACCTTTATTAACAGTTGTCTTCGCTCAACACTACTCAAGATCAGATGACCAGCCAGAAAAGATCAGCAACAGGGAAGGATCTCTGGGAACGAACCAACCAGGAACCCATTGTGAAACAAGTAGGAAGAAATGGAGATGGATTGGCTGGTCATACTCTGAGGAAACCATCAAGTGACATCATTAGACAAGCCATTGCTCGAATGGAACCCGAAAGGGAAGCGGTGAGTTGGTCGTCAGTGCAAGGGTGATTTGGAGAAGGTCATGTGAAGAGGAGATGAAAGCATGTGGGCAGACTTGGAGCCAGGTGAAGACTCTGTCAGAGAACCGAACGCAATGGAGACGCACGGCTGAATCCGTATGTTCCTCTAGGAATTAAAAGATACAATAATAATAATCACCGTTGAAGAGAAGATAGTAGCGGACAGCCAGCTCTCTCGTCTTGATTATCCCACCAGAGATAGAAACCCAGCACCTTCAGGTTACAAAGCGAACTTGTATATCAATCAGCCACTCCAAAAGATGGAATCTAGTCGCCTGTCAATTATAAATTCAGCGAATTTCCGGTACATTGCAACACCTAGTCAACGTCCTGAGTGAGTAACTCTCCTAAAGCATAACTTGGTAGACTGAGATGATTAACAAATCCCACCAGAAGTTCAAGGAGCTTCATCCTATTGTGAAGCACTAGTGAATATCGGATTTATTCTCAAGTTTTTACTTCTATTAAGAAGTTTTGATCAGTGGGAACAACCATGTTACGCGTGAGGACAGACATTCACCAATAATACTGGTTGGTCGTTGCCATGTATCGTGAATTAGCAGGAGTTAAAATTGACGAACCATTGGAATCTGTCATAATGGTTAAATGGTCAACAAGCTTGCATTGTAGCCCCAAGGTCCTGGGTTCAGTCACTGTTGGGGTCATGGATGTGTGATGCTGAAGAGTCACCAACTGGAAAGAAACAAATGTCCGGCCTCCCCTTGTAGTTTTCAATGGTTCTCTGATTGAAGTTAATTCATGAGCAGAATTAATTTTGTTAGATATTTGCGGGTGTGAGCCATCTAATATCAACAATTTAATTGCACCGTAATGACGAATCGCCTATTGGCATGGTGGCCACATTGTAAACTTTACTGATAGAATTCAGTCTACACAAAACAGAGGACTAGACACATTACTCCAGTCCAAACAAAGTATGAATCATCTTCGGGCAAAATTCACATCTTCTAGAGTTTTCCCCCTCTCGATACGCAGTCTGGCGCTTAATCCAGACCACTACAATTCAGCATATCGTCTATGATAATAAGTAGTTAGCTTGTCTTACCGCTGTATTCAGTTCATTCGCCCCACTGATTTTGCCGTAGTGGACCACCTGACATGCGCCATAGTCATATACCCAGCCATTGAATGAGGTCGATAAAGACTTGGGCACTACACACCCTGAGTACTGAAACAGTTTCCCAATTACTTCTCAGTCAACTCTGACTGTCGAAGGATTTTCCGAAGTCAATGAAGTTAAGGTTTAGATTTGATAAGCATACTATGCTTTGTTTGATGACGATGCGTAGAGTTGCAATTCGATCAGCACATGATTTGCCTTTCTTGAATCCAGCTTGTTCTGGCGGGTGGAGTTATGCACCTCAATAAACCAAGTGGCATTATGTTAATGTCGAGGTATTATAAAAGCATTCATACTAGTAGGCGAAGAAGAAATTCTTTTTTTTACTTCTTCGACGATAATTAATGCAGATTCACATACTGAAGACTGAAATCATTTTGTTTGTTCTTTTCATCTACATGAAAGGAATATCTTGTTTTAGAACTGATGAAAGAATTAGTAACGTGGCAGTACGATTGATATGGACACAGGTTCCTTCAAGATTTCAAATACTCCCTGCTAACGAGTACCGGCGACAAACTGGCTCTTAGCCAATTATCTTAAAACGTCAAGTAAACATTAAGTCTGATTCAATTTGAACTTTCGCGTGGATTGATTGGACGGTAGTGCTCAGCCTGGCGTTGACATGTCGACTGCTCCTTGTGCAGATGTTTCGATGAAGCAAACTGGTGGAGACTATCGGTCCTGGATACGAGCCTCAGTGAGAATACCACTACTTACTCACTTGGGAATGCAGGTACATCCACTGGCTGACGAGTCCTAAATAGGACGAAACGAGTACCCTGGATTTCACTGCTAGTTACCATCCATCAGTTAACTTCAAACGTTAAGTCTTTTTGAACTTCCCGTTGATTTATTTTCAGTGGACCAAGATGTTGAGTATTTGTTGGCATACCAGCCCCTAGTCATGTGCGACAGCGATGCTTTGAGATTAATGTAATTTTATTTGATTAAGGCGTGACTGACAGCGAAATCTAAGACTCAAGGAACTTGTCATCTGGATGAACCTGGAGATACATTACAGCTGATACTCCTTAGAACATAAGACGGAACTCTCACGACTACTCAACAAATGACTGTGCATAACAACGCTTTGACATTTATAAAATGGTCAGGGTTAAAAGTAACAATACCACCTTCACTCAGAGCAGTGTTTATAATATGTACAAAATTTCCAGAAGAGTTTATCGCATGATATTTTCTCCCCATCCAGGATCTTCAAATTAGTATAAGATTAATTGACAGTAGATTGTGTCAAACAGTTCTACCTGACTTGAAGCGCAAACAAATCGACTATGATATTTCCCTTGTTTTCCTCCTTCCAAAAATGCACAGTTATAAAGTTCAAGAGTACATTTCGACACCATCAAAGAACATAATTCAGAAACATTTATTTCATGTGTGTCAGTGGCAAAGCGGCAGAATGCTCACTAACCATGTGGCTGGTTTGGCGTTCGATCCACGGCCGACGCACTCTCCTACCTCGCTAAGCCAGTACTAAGACTGGTAATAATGGAAGGTTGGGCAAGAGGCTAGCAACCCCATATTGTAAAAATAAATATCACTTCTGCTTCAAAGCTCTAGCTTGAAGCCTTATGTTCCACTGGGAACGTAAAGGAATAAAAAAAATCAGTTCTTTCATGTGTATTGGGATACGCTGCCACCCAGACGATGAGGTTTTTCCTCAAGTTAAGTAGAAGCTTGTAAATCAGCCGACTACAGATATTCATTGGACACTAGTAACTAGTGTAATCTGTCTAGTCCTTTGTTTGGTGCAGACTAAATTCTATCGCCACTCACGCTCGCAATGTGGCCACCACTCGCTATCATAGTGTACATTGAGTTTTTGGTGTTACAGGGTTGGAGGCAATCGGCCACAGGAAGCCCAACCTGATCTAGGTTTCGCGCTATTTGGCATTCACCAGTCAACAAGGTGTATTTACAACCATAGTGAGGGTACTCATGTCGCTTCTGATATTTGGACCCGCGTCACCCAGTGATGCCTGCAGTCAGAGCATAGTGGTAACGTATGAGCGTGTGATTTTGCCTTACATTAAACGACACGAAATAGAATCTTCAAATTCATCGTATACTGGAGCTGACGCAGTATTGAACTGTGGGAATAATATTTCCTTGGAAGACATTGTCTGTTTCACACAACCACAATACTATTAGAGGCAGTGAAGAAAATTTTCTTTTCGACGAATTCACCGTCAAATAGGCTGTACATTCGTGTATTTATGATAAATCGGTGGGAAAGTTCCAGAGTAAATTCCAGTTAAGGGTCAAATTAATAAAATTACAATTAGGAATTAAAATGCCACAATAAACAGGTGGAGACGGATAAAATCCAAACAAAGATTGACATATTGCGCAATTGGGGGTTAGAAATGTAGAAATAAGAAAAATAGACCGGATGTTTGGATAAAAAATCTAGTGGCATCATAACCAATGTGACGGATAATTGTTTATGCAGTTAGGGATTAAATATGTAGAAATAGTAAAATGACAAATTAGACAGGAAGTTCGGCAGTACCATGCACCAACTGGAAAAACGCGCTCGTGAACACTCTCCAGCCTGGCTAGTAAAAAGGAGAACGAAAACGTGTAAACAGTTCAGTAAGACAACATCTGGTCAATTCATGACATTCAGCGCCTTTCGAAAAATCTTTCAAAATGATAGAAAAGATTCGATCAAACCTATCAAAGGGAGTGAAATTAAGACATCTGAGCATAGCCGAGGCACTAGCCATCCAAGAGCTCAAACCCACGCTATGTATCCAAAATAAATACGTTCAACCCTTGTCCCTGCCGTGGCCATCATAAACAGGTAATTCTTTTAATAGTGACTATCCCATTGCCTTTCTTATCCAAACTTCCTGTTTATTCATGTTATTTTGAAGTTTTTCTTAATCCCTATTTACACTACCATATTTTCATATCTGAACTTCCTGTCCACTTTGTCACTTTATTATTTCTACATATTTAATCTCTAACTGCACAATATGTCAATCTTCTCAGTAATTATGATGCTACTTTGTTTGAATTTTATCCGTCCTCTCTCCCTGTTTATTATGGCCTTTTTAATTCCTAATTGTAACTTCATTAATTTGACCCCTGACCTGAAATTATTTTGGAACTTTCTCACCCATTTATTATAAATACTCGAATGTACAGCCTAGTTGACGGTGACTTCGTAGATAAGAAAATTTTCTTCGCTGCAACTGTCATATTTTAACCGATTAAAACATACCGAATAAAAGAAATTTTATGCAATAAAATGATGGAGGATTTCAGTGGCCCTGAAATTAAACAGGCCTCCATGTCTAACTCACTGAGAACTCCACTACTGATCACTGTCAACCATGTTCATGAATGCATGATACTGCTTTTAACAGAAACTCTTTAACAAAAATAGTTTTTTTTCAGAGAGAAAAGAAACAGAATAGATACTTACAAAAATGCACCTTCTTGACTGCCTTCATTCGCCAAACGTAATTCAGCATCACGTCGTCGGATAGTATGATGATACCATGGTTGAATTAAGTGTAAATCTTTTACCACTAGAAATCGTAAATGATTACGCATAGGCCCACTGAGTGCTTCTTCAACACTTTGACCCTGAATATAGTAAGACACCAAATAAAGAATGCGGTACATCGAAAAAACCAAATTAAAAATTTTAAAAATTTCTTATCTTTTCACCTAAAATGTAAGTTTACGAGGACATTATGATCAAAATGAGGTCCGATCATGAAGTGACATTAGTCAGAGATCTATCTGAGCATTGATTTGGGATTCTTCTTCGACCTTGATAGATGAACATAGCTTCCTGGCTCTGTCGTACAAAGTCCTCACTAATCCGCGTTTATAGCTCATGGAACAGAGGCTGTTATAGTTGAGTCCAGGTTTCTTTTCTACGGATGAACTTTTCGATCATGCCTTCGTTTGTTCTTCTTTTGCTCTTTTTACAATTAGATCCTGGATCTAAATGTAAACTAGATTTCGTCGAGAAATGCCCAGAAGAAAATGGATACCATTAGGGATTTATACAGAGTATAGCAGAGAAAAGAGATAAGAAAAGAAAGAAAAACACCCAACTGTAGAAAAAAGGAAGTGTTTATTTGTCTCCCATTCACAGGAGATGCAGTGTCAAAAAAGATTGACAAAAGACTGAAAGGAGCAATAAATAGAAGCTTCCCGGCAGCAAAACTCATAACAGTATACAACACCACTCCTTCTATAATCCACTCAAAACTGGATAAATACCCTGCTGATGTCACCTCCAACTGCGTTTATCAATTTACGTGCACTTGCGGCAGCAAGTACATTGAAAGAACAGAAAGAAGGGCTTCTATCGGGTTTTCTGAACATATTCCAAGAAACCTACGCCTGAAAGGAAGCAAATATTCCCAGAGTGCAATTACCAGACATATTGTTGATACCGGACATCTCGTAGAGATTTCTATGTCCTTCAAAATATTAAATAGACAAAGGACAGCAAATTTACTACGATTTGCCGAAGAGATCGCCATCAAACGATTTAAACCAGACTTATGCATACAAAAAGAGAGTGTGATTAACCTCTCACTCCCTTGGTAACTGAATTTTGATTTTGATCACAATAATTAGCCATCTAATTCAGTGATCTCAACTCACTGAACAAATCTTAATCTCATAAACTGTAACCGCCTTTGTTTTTTGGAGTTGCTATTTGAACCTACAAGCTAACACTGTTTCTGTTAATCAATTTTTTCTGCTTTTTGTCTTACCCTCCCCCCCCCTCTTTTCAACTTTAAAAGCGTATAATTTGATGATGAAAACTTAAACTTAAAATTGTAATGCTTAAAATTTGGATGCATCAGTTTCACAGTATTTCTTCTCTACTACCACCCAAACATTAAAGTATGTTATTATCATTTATATAACCATTGTAATTTCAGGAAGTCTGCAGTTGATGAGAACATGTGAAATCGAATGATATCATTTTATACTACGAATTTCGTCTTCCTTTCTTTATCGAAATTTATCAAGGAAACCGATTGTGTGAAATAATTAATATATATATTGAGAGGGAGAGAGAGCAACCGCCAGCCAGTATCAGAAGCGAGTAACTATTATCTTATCTGACTTGACAGACCCCACTTATTACAACTTGTCGTCAGAACCCCAGGTAGCTTCCTGTATAGAGCCATTTGCTAGTGAGCACTGGATCAGTTATCAAGTGTTGCTTTCTAGGGTTTTGATTGGCTATATGAAATTCTACATTTTTAGTTTACACAGTTCAAGGACGTAAAGTTTTACCAGAAGTTCCTTCGGAAACCAAAATCCTTCAGATTACAAAACATCCATACTATAACAGATGTCATGTCAACACAGAGATTGAAATTTACAGTTCAACATGATCAGTTAAATTAAAAAGTAATTAACTGGAAATATAATTATAATAATTAAATATAATTGTAATAATGATAATTATAATTATTATTATAATGATGATAATTATTACGCGGGTCAGAAACTTGACGTGTCACGAAAAGGATTTCCAACAGCTAGCCGTAGACATATATCACAATAGCTGCTCACTTCGCTGGCGCCATACTGAAGATCAAAGGTCCAGTCGCCTGACCAGAAAGAATAAGCAACAAGAAACTATGGGCACGAACCAACAGGCAAGAGTCGATCGCTCAACAAATATGCAGGAGAAAGTGGAGATGGATGACTCGGGCATACATTGAGGAGACCGCCAAATGACACCGCACGTCAGGCCAGTGCTCGAGTAGAATCCAAATGGTAGGCGACCAGTGTTTAGTCGTTGTGAGAGTAACATGGATGAGATCGTGTGACGAAGAGATGAAAGAGTTTGGTCAATCGTGGATCCAGTTGAATAGGACGGCAGAAAACAGAACAAAGTGGAGAGGTCTTGTTGAAGCCCTATTTTACACTCGGAATGCAAGGGAATGATAATAATAATAATAATCAAAAAGGCGTTCAGTGAAGGAATGTCATTAAACCAACCCGTTAATACTGTTGTAGACGGTGGACACATGGACTCATGCAGGAAATTAGCGAATATTATCTTTAAATAAAACATTACAGCGATGATCAACAGAAGGCTGAGTACATCACTAGGCAGAGCCTATCCTGCAGCTAAGCTCGTTCCCGTCTATCGAACAACTTACTCTTTGGTGCAATCAAAATTCGATAGATATCCGTCTCATGTGAACTCCAACTGCACATACAAATTTACATGTATTTGCGGGAGCAGTTACATTGGAAGAACAGAAAGAAGAGCATATCTACGATTTTCTGAACATGTACCAAAAAGCTTACGTCTAAAGGGAACAAATTCTTTAAACAGTGCCATCGCCAGGCATCTCCTCGACACGGGTCATGAGGTGGAAATCGAGAAATCCTTCAAAATTATCAATAGACAGAGGAGCTCCATTCTCCTCAAGTTTGCCGAAGCAATTTCTATCAAACGCTTCAAACCAGATTTATGTGTTCAGAAAGAAGCAGTTATTAGTCTTTCCTTGCCATGGTAACTGGATGTCTTCATTCTCTACTCTGATTACGCAATCTTTGTCTTTAACCTCACCCCTCTTCTTTTTTTAAAAATCTGTAATATTGCTTGTCTCTTGTTTCTATGACGTGATTTGAACTCAGTACATCGTTACCAAAATTTATTAGTTACTCATCATCTTACTCACCTCTCGTCTTTATTGCGTTACTCCTTTACCATTCTATGCATAACTCTTTTGTGTTTGAACTTGAACTGCCCATGTAAAAACTATGTAAGCACAATTTTCTGAGCACTTTTCACTGATTGTGGAACTTTCTGTCAACTGACAACATGTAAAAATTTGCAAGTATGTTAAAACTTTCCTGTACCTTAACCTCATAATTTATTTAGGCTGTAAGCAGATGACGAGAAGCCGACGAAATAAATGATGGTACCACATTATTCTGCACAAACCACTGTTGTTCTTGCTTTATTTAAATTCATCAAGGGGAATAAATGCATGAATATTATCTTCTCAGACCCTGAGCATCCTCTCTAAACACAACTCTCTCCTTGCTGCATTTTATCAGGCAAGGTAGAACTAGAAGCGATTATAGAAGACTATATGCTTGGACAACTTAGTACAAAAATTCTGCGATACTTTATTTAACCAGGACACATTCTATGTGATGCGAAAATTGTAAGGCAGGATATTACCAAGTTACTATGGAACTCCAAGTAAACGAACCTACTTTTCTCTCATTATTATACTGATGCTAATATTTTCACTTTATTTAATTTTATATACATATTCTTACTGATCAATATAATCCAGTGTAAATGCCAGAGTTTTTAATTATTACCACCTATAATGAGAAAGCTGGAGGCAATACTGTAATACTACATGCTGAAAATTCCATATTTTTACCAAAATTACTGTCTAAAATAAAGTTATCATAAGTAATAATTAATTTATTTTTATTATGATTACTGTCAGTTGATATTTTATCTGAAGGTTCTATTTTTAGAGAAAATATCAAAGAATAAAGTCCGCTGAAATTTTTGTACATTGTATATATACTGTCCAGAATAATGCCATTATTATTTTGATGTGGTTGTGTTCTCTGAGCTAGCTGGATATTTAATTTGCGAAGCTTTCATTGTCCCTAAACTAGGCAATCTCTTCAGTGCATACTTCAATTTGATGAAGTGAACTTTTAGAATTCTCCACAAGTTTATTAGTCATCTCTCCTGACCTGAACTTTGACCCTATGCGTGTGAGGTTTCTTTATTATCGGTTGATAAATTTTGTCCATGTCAGTGTGTCTATTACATGGAGGATTTCATCATGGGCTGACATCAGTTAGAGAACCATTGGAAAACCTGGGAGTACTGGACAGCTGTTTCCTCCTAGTTTGGGACTCTTCAGCAGTACGCACCCACCGCCAGAACCTTCTGGTTACAAGATCTTGCGAAATAGTCGCGCTATGTTGTGAATTGGCAGAAGTTAGAGTTCGAGCATAAGTTATTGCCACTCATTATGGAATCAGTTTCTTTTTCTCTTCATCTTCACCTCATTGTTTGTTGGCAATTTCCACACCGTTGGTATAGGTGTCGTGCATCACTCCGATTGAACTTGTGCGGTGTTGAATCCATATACAAAGATTCACTGATTAACCTCGCTTTCTCTTCATCTAACTATATTACTTCATAATACTCTCACCCTGTCCTACCCACCCTATTTTGTGATTAAATGCAAGGGATTCGATAAACAAAGCTTCTGTTATCAATCTCTTCTTCCACCCTGTGACATTAGATTTTAAAAGTGCCATCCTATCCCATCCTATTGTGTGGTTATGTGCAACTGCATGTAGTGCTATATACATCTGAACTATTCTCTAGATTTCTTATCTTATTCGGGTCAACCAATCTAGACTTTGCTCGGTTTTTGTGTTCGGCTAGTCTGACTGCACTTGTTCTACTAGTTTCACCTATATATTTGACCTGACCATCATTCCAGCAGGGTATTGGATAAACTAAATTGGTCACGGTTTCCCATTAGAATCCCAGATGACTACCTACCTGAATGGGGCCAGTTGCTAGTGAGCATCGGGACGAA